AAGCGAGGGCGAGACGAAAGCGTCACACCAAGTGGTGAATCAGTGAGGTGACAGGCAGCAAGCAATATTGATGGCGAAGGGAGCAGGGAAAGGGAAATATAATACGCGGTTGAGTTTCCAAATTTTCCCTCCCTCTTATATGAGATTCGATACGACCCATTCTATTATAGATACCATAAAATGAGGAAATTCACAAGGTCTTGGCCGCATTTCAATCCATGCCACAGTTCTGTTCGCAGTTGCGTCGCTTTATGGGTACGAGCACTTTTGCTTATCGAGCACCGGCGAAAGGGGAGAGCAACGTGAACCCACTGCTTATTTCAAGAACACTTTTTCGTCAAAATTTGAGCTTCTCAAAACCTGTGCTAAATTTGAAATCTAATATCTGCCAGATTTTTAGTAGCTATTGAAGGTAGCGATTACGATAAAGAGGGAGCATATCGGGAAGCATATGCACCACACGAATCAGTTACTTGGCTGCCAGGAAGCGAGGTGTGGCGCTTTCACGACGAAAGGTGCGCTGGTTGCTGAGCAGGACTTCGAAAGCACTCCGCCCCAAAAGCGATCCGCCCACTAGTTTAGTTGGTGATTTGGACGAGCTGCGTTGCCAGCAGCGGCACAACTGGAGCACTCGATTGAGCGTGGTTTGGCATGGTGCCACCAAACGCGTTGCGGTGAACTCGTTCATACGTCCGCAGTCCGCGGTCACAGAGGGGTAGGGGTTCAGCGTTTTCCTGAAGGGTTTTTCTGCTTTCTTCGCGAATGGCGTACCACTGAGCATACCTACGTCCCTTAGAAGTCCCTCTAGAGCCTATCGAAACTGATGCGTTTGAAACTACTGAAACACCATACATTCGTACCGCTGTTGAATACGGCCTCAATTCGTATTAGTACATTCAACAGTGAAAACTCATTCCCTATGGAGTTGTACTTGATATACTGGAATGAATTCACTTCTACATAGCTCATCAGAATTGAAAATACACGTTGCTCCTAGAGAATATTACTTTCGAGAAATAAGAGCGAATATTGTTGAGCACATTGAGGTTCTTCTACAACGCCGAGCACGTCACGCCAAGTCAGACGATTCGTGAAATTAGGCTATAATCAGTAAAGGCGATAGATACGACGTCTCCGAATCCTAGTAACGTCAGCAAATGCTGGGGAACGATACTAGATGACCAATGCATGATTATCACGCGATCGTGATTATGCTGAGTCCTGCTGGATTGCATATTCTAAAGTAGAGCCTGGAGAAATCAACATGGAATGGCCTATCGAAGCCACTTTCTTTTTCAAAAAAGGGTGTGGAAATACTTTCAGAATACTTTAACCCTGTGTTAACAGAGAAAGTGAAGTATTAGCGCTAACCATGCTTGGAAGTGAAGTAATGCCAACGGGACCCTTCAACAATTCCGGAGACCTACACATAAAGCAGAAGCAACTGGATATATTCTTAAGTCTGGTGAAAACTCCAGTTCGGGGGGGGCACTCCATTGCTATCTTATCCGTAGTACTAGAGAGCAGTTCTTTGGGCTATCGAACACTACGGATAAGATAATAAGTGAACGACTCATTTCGAGCGTACTTTTGATAAGGACCGGTGGATGTCCTACATTCCACACTACCTGCCCACATCCCATCCACTTTTCTGCACAGGTGATCCACCCTGGAGCTCCTGCACCCTTAGCCCTTTGCGGAGGTGTCCTTTCTCCTGGTCCAGGACCGTTCCCTTGGGTCATGGCAGGCGGGAATGTGAAAAACTTGTTTCATTGATGTTTCTTCCACCCATTACACCAATATTTATCAGAAGTCTACTTTAAATGAGTCGATTACGTGTCGTGAGCCCTCTAATCCTTATCTTGAGTATTGGAGAAAAAATGGAGTGCCCCCCCCGAACTGGAGTTTCACCCCCTAAGTTTATTTTCTAGAGCTTTGAATGTGTGCAAGCCGTTGAAAAAAAAATCAAAATTTCACCAGGGTGAGCATCGAGGACGTTGAACGAAAAGAAACAATTGCCAATCGCCTGAACCGAGATATCGAAGAAGGCACGGCACATTT